TAATTAATATTTTCTGTAATATTAATAAGAGCATACAGGTACATATGCATGCGTAACAAGGGTTTGTTTTGTCTGACTAGATTAAGGCTCCTGGATGGTCAGCCGAGAACTCTGCGTTGACGGTGGCGCCGCCACTCTCTCCTCTCACTCTCTCCAATGGAGAATTCTGTCTTGTGACATGTTGACAACCTATTTTGTCGTCCTTGCTATTTCTTTATTACTCGCTCTGTGCTTGTGCTCTAACGTTTAACGTATTCGTGAAAATCGTAAAATTGACCGAAAAGTAAGATTTGCATGCGGAAGTAACGTTTTCACCTCCTTTCGATAGTCGTTAAACGGCTGTTTTTCCCGTATGTTTAGGCTTTGTTTTATGGCTGTTTGTTTATTGTCGAGGGAAAAGGGTAGTTTTCGGTCAATTTCGGAAGTGTTCTGAAACGATCTATAGTGATGTTTTATTGAAATGTCTCTTTATTTGAAAATGGTACGGACGACAAAATTGGGTGTTTTCCTCGCCTCAATAGTGAGAATTCAATATGGCCGCGGTGACCATCCAGGAGCCTTAATGTACAATTTTTTGTATCATATATAATTACAATGTATTTATAAGATATATAGCGATATAAATGCAAAAGATAATACAGTTTCTCAAGACATTGCTAAGATCTGCATGTACAAATATGTACAAATATAAAAGTTATATGTAGATTACAAAAGCATTATACATATATATATATATATATATATATATATATATATATATATATATATATGTATATATATATATATATATATATATATTAATTAAAAGTCTTTTAAATAAAGTTTTTTATTATATTTCTGAGTTATAAATATTGTGTACAGAATTTTACATAAATAATACTAAATAACTGTGTTGTGTTTTTGTAAAAAAGTAATTATATATTTCTTATATATATATTGTATATTTTCTTATTTTTTCTTATATATAAATAAATATAAAGTTTGTTTATGGATTTGTTTATTATGGGTTGCATGATATACTCTGTGTATGTCCTGCTTTTTTTTTGTAATGACGAATAAGCAGCATTGTAAAATCAAGAAATTGCTTGTGTGTGGAAATCATTTTTTTTTTATCTCACCATTTTGAATATTATTCTTTTAATAACATTACTTCAGATAACGTGTAGATTTATTATAACAAAAAAGATACATGTACAAGCATTTATATATGCAGAGCTTGAGAAGTATATCAATATTGAATCTGTTAAAAATTTTACATTTACTGCACTTGTAGAGGTTCGCTACATTCTCTATTGATTATGTGTTAAAGAATATGTAAATATGTTCTAAAGCTCTGTTTACAAACTTGTTCATCAAGATTATTTATTGTCTAAAACAATTGGATTAATATTTAAAATTCACTAGGTGATCTGCCATCATATATAACTCGATTCCAGTGGGACATGGCTAAATACCCCATCAAACAATCTCTGAGAAACATCGCAGATATTATTAGTAAACAAGTGGGACAGATCGATGCTGATCTAAAAACTAAATCCACAATATATAACAATTTGAAAGGCAGCTTACAAAATTTGGAAAAGAAACAGACGTAAGTTTGATTTGTTTTTAAATTGAATACAATCGACCATTATGTAAATGTCACTATGTAATATTTAATCTGTGACAGGGGAAGTTTATTAACACGAAATTTAGCAGACTTAGTGAAAAAGGAACACTTTATTCTGGATAGCGAATATTTAACTACTTTGCTTGTAATTGTACCGAGGTGAGTGAACACACTTACAGCTTTTTTTTTTTGCCATACTATACTAAAGTCATGTAAAAATTATCATATTGTTGAGTTATATGAGGAATTAGCATTTATGTGTATCTTATATTTTCAGATCCAGTTTCCAGGAATGGTACGGTTGTTATGAAAAACTGACAGATATGATTGTACCGCGTAGTACACAGCTCATTACTCAGGATTCAGAATACGGATTATTTACAGTCACTTTATTTAAGAAAGTAATGGACGAGTTTAAATTGCATGCTCGTGAAAAGAAGTTTATTGTACGAGATTTTACATATAATGAAGAAGAATTAGCAGCAGGTTTGTTATAAGGAGATCTTTTATGATTTGTATGGAACAACATTGCATGCAATAACATAATAATTTAAAAATAAATATAAGTCACATATTAGACATTTCTAGAGATTAATACGTTTCTAGAGATATATACGTTTTGCAAAGAATAAAATTTATTCTAATTACATTTTATTACAGGAAAGAATGAAATTACAAAGTTGGTAACTGACAAAAAGAAGCAATTCGGACCGCTTGTCCGTTGGTTAAAAGTGAATTTCAGTGAATGTTTTTGCGCTTGGATTCATGTTAAAGCTTTGCGCGTATTTGTTGAATCTGTTCTTAGGTACTACTGTACATTAATGTGTTTCATTGAAACAAATACTATAGGATAATAACATTATAATATAAATGATTTGTAGATATGGCTTACCTGTCAATTTCCAAGCAATATTACTGCACCCGCATAAGAAATGCGCAAGGAGATTACGTGACGCTCTAAATCAGCTTTATGCTCATTTAGATTCATCCGCTACCGGTACAACGGCGCTACATAATCAAGATGTAAGTAAAGCTATATAAGATGGTTATTGTTTTATATTATTGAAATCAACATTTAATCACAGTTTCGAAACTTTATTAAATTCTTATTCTTGTAAATAAATATTACTTTAGAATCGAATTTTAATATCTGTTATATAATATGAAATATATACAAACAAAATGTATATATTTTTTTCCTGAATGGAGCACATTTATATTTATGTGATGACATTTTAATTTTACACAGAGCGTGGATATACCAGGATTAGGTTTTGGCCAAAGTGATTATTTCCCGTATGTCTATTACAAGATCAACGTGGATATGGTTGATAATAAGGTCTAATCAGTCTGCTTTTTTCCTCCCGAATGTCGCACTTCCTTTTATATATCCGGATATAATTCTATTACATTAGGAATCTGGCGGCGGATGCGTACAAGTCTCTTACTTGTATCAATATATAAAAAGAACACTGCATTTCCAGAAAAGTTCTTTCAATTTTTCCTTAGTTATGTTTATAATTATAAATCATAATTCACTACAATCGGAGAACAGTGTCACTTAACTTTTTTCGGAAATAATTATTTTTCTAAACCAATAAAATTGGAATAATGTATAAACTGTAATATTATACTCGGAACTGTGCATAATAGTTTGTGCATTCCCTTATACATATTTCTCTTAAGTATTAAGCATAAAACAAGTGAAATTATAGACGATAATAAAGATTATAAATTCTCAGGCAATTACCATTGATCACATGCTTTCGATTTGTAGTTGTGGCATCAAGTATCTCTGTGACAGCAATTTATTTTGATTCTTTGTTACTTCTCGATACTTGGAAACAGCGCGACATATTTTACACGCTAATGCGACATAAAAATGCATACCGTTTCTAAGTAGAATTGCCACAATATGATTAATTATGTACCCGTTAATCTGTTGTTAATCTCTGTCCATACAGAGTTAAAGTGCTGATCTTTTCATTAATGTGTAAGAGATCAAGACTTGTGAAAAAAAAATATATATATGCACCTTGTTACATCTTATAAAGAATATTCACACTGTGTCATGTGAATATTTAACAAAAAATGTGAATTGTTAACCACAGTACAGAAAAAATGGAATATCTTATTGTTGAATACTAAGACGAGAGTTTTATGTCATGTATTCTTATAGTATTTTATTGTTTTAAATTTAAACAAATTTATGGACTATAAAAGTAAGTTTCACACGCGCGTAATATGTGCAGTTTACATTATGTATTGTCTGTATGGAAAAGTCGTATTATCATGAGTCTAAAAATTTTAATATATTATGAACCATTTTTAATAATTGAAACATATACTATATTGAAACATATTATAATCATTGTTTAGCGTCTAAATATTTTATTAGATTGAAGGTATCTTATGCTAACAGCGAATTTATCGAAAAGATAATTAATAAAAACGTTTTAAAAATTTTTTTTATTTCGTAAAACTCGACTCCCAATAGATGGAGAAAACAATAATATCGATTTTTTTTATATTATTAAGCATAAATTCATATTTCTGATTATTCAAATATGTAGACTTGTAGACTATATTTTTTTATCAATTGTTTCATTTGTAAATTAAATTTAGCTATTTTTGAGTTGGCACCGTTACAAACTGCACAATATATAAGTCTCTTTGGTGAATATATAATATATATATATATATATATATATATATATACCAATTATATAAATATATACCATAAAAATGTATTTTCTGAAGAAATTTCATGTTCAAACAAGTTTAGTTTCTCACACTGATTATAATGTAAATTGCTTGTACATAAGAAAAATCCATGTATAGCGTTCATGGTTTCATATTATTATATTTTGAGTTGCAAGATCATTGTAAAATGCAGACCAATGTACAATGTTTTAATCAAGCGAAATCATACCAGCGGAAATCGATGACAATACTGATTAAATGTTGTCTGCTCCTTAAGCCTACACAAAGAAGCAAGATGTGGCATGTAATAAAAAAGAAAGGATACATATACATATTGGCAGTTAAATTATGTAGATACGTTTAAAGAAATGATTATACATTGCAGTCAATTGACTTTTGCGAATTGTATAGGTAAATATAATTGTAGATAATAAATATTTAAGTTTAATTGTCAATATCTTTTGTTTATACGTTCATTACTAGATCCTTGAATATAGTGGAATACCAATCCAATTCCTTTTCTCACTCCTGATTTCTTGCGATTGTGATGTACATACACGTGTGTAATTGGATTAAACAGAGCTGCGACTCTGTGCTTGAATTATCAATGTAATAAAATTATAATGCAACAAGATAATATTTCGATAAAACGTTTTAGAGGAGGGGGAGAAGGTAAGATGCAAAACAGTGTATATAACGCAATTTTATGTAATAATTTAACACAAGCTCTTATTTGTGATTATGTCGTAAAATGTCATCATAAAATAAATTGATTCTTCGTATAATAGCTTCTGTACAAAAATTTCCGCCCGTGGAATGTATAGAACTCTTCAATAAACTCTTATATATCTTACACAGCTTTGATAATATTATGTATTTATGATTATGTATATGTATGTATATATAGGGGTTTTTTTCATTCTGCTTTGCAAGTAGAAGCTTTATTTCTTTGCAGTCACATTGCTGCTCTCAATTAAGTCCTGAAAATTATTTCTGTTTGTTAGCATGTATTTAGAAAAATATATGTCTTCAGTATTATGTATAATATTATAGGTATACAAATGATATACAATAATAAACATTACGTTCAATTTAAGAATATCCTGCTCCCAATCTCCACAGCCAATAATCTTCACTGCCTCCAGTAACACATTCGTTATTTTATCAACATTTTGCCTGAACACAACTAATACGTCGGCTGCATGAACATTGTCCTCGCTTTCTTTCCAGCAATCATAATCAGTCGCCATTGCTACAGCTGCGTATAAAAGACCGGCTTCTTTTGCTAGAAATACCTGATTTAAAAAATGTAAACATTATATAAATAGTATTGCTAAGACGTACAAGTTTACGTATAGATTTATTATTTAGACCTCCGGGCATATAGTCATGTTGACCAAATGTCCACCCCAAAGACGCAGAGCGTTACTCTCCGCTTTGGAGGAAAAGCGCGGTCCTTCGATAGTTACTACTGTTCCACCCTTTTTTATGTTGTATCCCAATTTTTTTGCCGCTTGCAACAAGATCTCCGACGTTCGCGGATCGAACGCAGGCTCCATCGGCATGTGGCATACTCCTGTAATTTTACAGGCAACATACTTTAAAGATTGTACTTGTAAAAAGATATACATGATATACCTACCGCTGTACTTGGCAGATGTTCCGTCATAGAACGTGCCCTTTCTGGAATTAGTTTTATCTATGAAGCTATCAGGCACAACTAATTGTCCCCTGCTGATAGATTCCGTCAATGATCCACACGCAGTAGACGCCAATATGTGGGTACATCCAGCAAGCCGTAACGCTTCTATATTAGCACGATAATTAACTCCGGTAGGGCTAAATACATGCCCTGCACCATGTCTGCGTCAAGAGAGGAAAATATTTTCATTAATGATCAAGACATAAAATAAACGTTGTAAAACAGAAAAAGTAAAACGGCTTTTACATGAAAAAATTTATAGCAGAAGGATAAAGCAAAATATACAGGGTGATGATAAGAGGTAGTATCAAATTTTAGGGGTATGTAATACTCGTGAAAACAAACCGAAAAATCGTAATACAGAAAACTCAAGTCAATACGAAATAAACCTGGAATTTTTGAACATGTTTGATCTTCAATGAGAAAGTGTGCCGAATTGTGTGTCGAAATGAACGGAAGGAACATCGAACATCTACTGTAGAAAATGCTTTATAACTCACATAATAAATGGTTTTTAGAGTAATGTTTATGACTTTTCGGTTTGTTTTCACAAGTACTACATACTTCTAAAATTTGGTACCATTTTTTTCAACACTCTGTATATTAATGTGCCAGTCTAGATTGCATAATTTAAAAAGAGATGCAAAAACGAAGGGGTTTATAAGGAATTCTACCTAGCCAGTAGCACTATGTTTACTCCATCAATGCATCCATAGTATAGATCACTGGACGGATATCCGAAGTCGTTCTCTGCATTCTCGCGACTTGTTATGCTGCTACAATTGAACGTTTTGTGTAGGGTCTCACCCAGACCCGAACCACATATTAATCCCACCTAAAAAATATAAAAGTGTATAATAATAATATAATAACTTGTATGTTTATCTATATTATATCACACTTTAAGAATGAAAGAGACTGTTTTTTGTTGTATTTGTCGACTTTTCATACACAATGCATCACGAGTGCATTTAATAATAATAATAATAATAAAAAAAATAATAATAATAATATTATTACATATATAATATCTAATAA